TCTGTGCAGCCTCACAGCCTGGCATTGCCTTTGAGAGGAGGTACCTAAGGAAGGGAGATTCTGCAGGATGGGGATAATGGGTGGCTCTAGGGGTGCTTGTAGAAACAGTGCTGTAACTTTTCCTCCCTGTGTTGTTAGAAGGCATGTTGCTACAGCTCTGCAATAAAATCAGGGCCATTACACCATGTACTCTTTCAGTTTTTGTGTGAAGAGATGTACAAGTGAACAACAAACCTGCCTGAGGCCATAGAGCAAGACAAGGACAGACCTTGGGAAAAAAAAATAAAGTTTTTTAAAAATTTCAATCCCAACCATTTACACAAAGCATTTCACCACTTCACCTTCTTTTCCCACCATGAATCTCCCCTTCCCCACATCAGCTGCCAGCACAGAGCCCTACCTAAAGGCAGAGCTGGGCTTGGACTCTGATCTCCTGTGACACATTTTCTGTTTAGTGCTAGAAATCGCTGCTTTAAACTGCAACTTGAGCCCTGTCTGGGGACACAGGCTCTGAGTCACCTCTAGCAGCAGCTGATTTACAGGCAGCCCTTCAAAGCTGTCCCAGCTCACTGCTATTATCTTGATCTCACTGGTACCTTCCTCAGTATGAAAGCACAGGTTATCCTCTTGCTTGTTTGCAATGCCTAATTAGGCCCAAGCTGTAAAGAGCCAAGCTGACCTTTATCAGCTCTTTGTACTGGGCAGAAGAGCTGGATTTGCAGTTTCAGACTGCTTGTTGGTAATGATGGTTTCCCTCTCCTGTGAAAAAGCACAACTTGAAAACAGAAACCACAGAGAAAGCTGCTGTGTTCTGCTCTGGAGAGCATCTGTGGGGGACACATCTGCCACAGGTGTTTAATGAAGGTACTGGAGTACCCACACATGGAACAAACACTGAGAAGGAGCAGTTTACTGTCCTAACTTCCTCCCACAGCTCATGGCTCCAGCAGGCAGCACAGCTGGGTCACATAGGATCCAGCTGCTGGATCACACAGGAAGCTGCTGGATCACACAGGATCCAGCTGCTGGATCTCCAGGTTTCCAGCTTGACTTTTTACATTCTCAGTGCAAAGAACAGGTGTTGAAAGGGTGGTTAGCCTCTGACCTGGAAATTCCCTCAGCAAGAGCATAATCTGTGCAATTTAGTGTGAGTATTTTGTGGCTTTAAGAGCTGGTTACCCTACAGTTTACAGCCTAATGTCACAGGCAAATGACAAAACTCCATCCAGCTGGATCGCACAGGAAGCTGCTCCAGAACCAGCCTTTTATAGCCCAAAATTTTGAAAAAAAAAACAGTCTGGAACTTATTGGAGCAATTCGACAAAGCTGAGATGTACAAGGACATGACTGCCTACTATATATAGTGTGTGTGTATAAATATATATACATACACTCCTGGGAAAGGCATGAGGCAGGAACAGCTTCCTCTCCCACACTTTGATCTGGTGTCTCACCTTTTCCTGGATACTTTTGGAGCAGAGATCCCCACACTGAGCAGTCAGAAACAACTGGGTGCTCCCACAACCTGCACTGGTCTTCTTTTGGGCAATAACCATCCCATGCTGGGCTCTGGGTCACTCTGTGAAAGGTAACCAAAGGCTCTGGACTCTGAGAGACACACTCCATACCAGGACAGAACTATGGGAAGCAGTCAAAAAGATGAGTTACAGTGGAAAACAAACTGTGCTGCACAAACAACAAGAACAAACACAGAATGAATTAGATCAAATCCAGCCCAGGTGGAAGGGAAGAAGCTGTGTGGGAAAAGGAGCTGCATGTAACAAAGCAAGGCAATGCCACTTGTATAAACCCCTGAAACTACAAGAAATTTATTTGTTTCCTCAATGGCTCTCGACATCACAAGCCATGATCATGTTTCCATCAGTTATTTTCAAAACTTAAGGGTTTTCCATACAACAGAGGACAAAGCACTGGTTTCTTGTTACATGGTGGGTGTCAATACTGCACAGTGCCAAGAAACACAGCTGCCCTGCTGAAAAAGCCTTCCCTCACAAATCTAGGATGTTTCAAGGGGTTTTCTCCCACTGCTTGAAGAAAGAGTCTGCATTCACAAAGAGGTGAACAAGGGTGAAAATGAGTTCAGGAATGTTACCAGAACTTTCCCATCTCCTACTCAAACATGTTTTTGTTAGCCATACAGTGCTCTAAAATTGTTTGATGTTTTTCACTGTGTTTGCACCTCATTGTTTCTGCTGGTGGTGGCACTTCCAGGGTTTGGGGTCAGCAGACCAAACAGTCTGACCCCAAGGAGACAACTGTGATAACACCCTGTGAGGGATCCCTGCTCACAGACAGAACAGAAAGTCTGGGCCACAGTGTTGCTGTGTGTAATGCTGCCCACATTACATTTGAAATAGAGGGAATTAAGCTGTGTTCTGAGGAAATGAGGAAATGAGACCTTCTGTTTCCATCTGCATCCTCTGCTTTCCATCCTGCAGTACTATATATGGAAACAGCTAAAGTTATGTATTTTCTATGGAAGACTTCCTCATATGGAGAAAATACCCTCAACAAATTCTAAAATTCCTTCAGAGAAAGCAGCCTGTAAATTAAAAAAAAAACCCAAAATGAAACCAACCAAACAAAAAAAAGAAGCAAATCCAAAGACAGCTGATATTCAGAATTCTACCATTTGACTCCTTTACTGAGTTACAAGCTTGTTGTATTCCTCTATGCTTTTCACTAAACACAGATTACAAACCTTTGCAAACAAAACAAAAGAGTTGGGTAATGCAGTAAGTAATCTGGAATTTAATTCAAACTAGGCCTGGGCTAAGCAGAAAATAAACAAAAGGGGCTGTGTAGGATTTCTCAGCATCAGAGGTTGCATATTTGGTGGAAAAGGTTCTCTTGTTAAGGACTGTTTGCCTTGTTGAATTGGCTGTGGTTTATATGAATGTTATCTCACCTGTAAATACATTTTTCTAAAATACTGCATGTTCTAATCACAGAATCAGAGAACGGTTTGGAGGTGACCTCAAACATCTCTTCCAACCCCAATAATCAGATTTAATCTGTTCACTGCACCCTTTCTCCTTTTATAGAAGAATTGCTTACCAGCAGGCAGAGGGGTTTGTAAAGGGAAGTACAAAGACTTGCAAAACCCAGAACTTCCTTTGTGACTACCTAAGGACTGTGTTTGGGTGAGAATCAGACTTTCTTTTACCCTTATATGGCAATCCTACAAAAACCTGAAGGCAAATCAGGTGAGAAGCTGTGAAGCTACAGCTCCTACAGCAGCCAGTTACAGGCAGAGCTGAACAACACAAACATAAAAGGCCATGAGGGGTAGGTTTGGAGGATACCTTTTAAAGTCAAAAGGATTTTGTGCTGAGGTCACCTACAGATGATCAGAGGGCCCAGCCTACCACTAGTTTCATCAAATATTATTGCAGGATTTCACTGTGACTGCAGGTGCCTTGTGAAACTTCATGTGCCATCAAAACAGGAAACAGCCTAATGGCATTAAAAGGGGTGAAATGATTTTTGTGTTCAGAAACTTCTGTTTTAGAGCCTAAAACATGGAAGGGCCTTTTATAATTTATCTCTTTTAACTCAAATGTGACCTCTATTGCAAAGGGTAAAGTTCTGCAATATAATATAACTGAAATGCTGAGTAATAACTGGGAAGTGAAAAGCATCAGCTGTGTTTCCTCCATGTGACACAGCAGGGCTTATCTGCACTCCAGGCTGCAAGAGCTTCAAACTGAACGGCTTATTTGGACCTACAGTGCCAATCTCTCCTTGCCAGGAGGTGAACATACCCCAAAATACCCTGCTGAAAAGTGCCTCCGGTGAGATAATGCCATTTCTGGAGTTCTCAGATGCCTGTGGCTGAGAGGGCTGGAGTTCTGCTCACTGCATGTGTGAGTGCAGCTAATTATAAGCTCTTTGGAGCAGAAATCCTGTCTGTCTGCACAGTCTCTGGCACAGCAGGGTCCTGTTCTCAGCTGGCTTTCAGAGAGAGCTCAGTGCGAGGTATGAATCACATCAAAGGTGAATCAGAACGACTCTGAGTCACTGACACCAGAGAGTAACAACCTTAACATATGTATACAAAACTAATGAGCTGCAAAATTTCTCTCTTCCAACTCAAGAGAGGAGAAAATATAATTTTCAAGAAACTAAAAGATAACTGAGGTAAACCACATGTGCTTGATATAAACGCAGAGCTGCTTAGCTCATAAATTATATTCTATTTTCTTATCTTGAAATAATTTATTTTAATTGAAAGAGACTTACCTGAACTGAGACTTGAACTGAAATGAGAATTACTTGGAACTAAGGTCATCTAAATTTTCTGTGGTCTTGGCAAACTAATAAAACCAAACCTACTCCATTTTATTAAAGTAAAAAATATATAGTCTTTTAAATAAATAGTCTGGGGTTTTGTGCTTTTGTTTTTTTCACTCTGCAATCAAACACAGGTCTAACATCAGTCCACAAAATTAGCCACAATTGTTTATAGAACCTACTTGTGTGTTTTTCCTCTTTTTTTATACACCAGTGTATTCTAAAATGTCCTTAAAAGGCATCTTAGTGTATTCTCACTTTCTGACTGGCAGAAACAAAGCACTCGAGACACTTCCCCAGCTCTGCTGAGTAGCTGAAAATACACATGAGGAAGTGACGACTCATTTAAGGAGAGCTGCGAATTGCTGCCCTTACGCACCAGGTTTCCAGCTTGACTTTTTACAGTGCAAAGAACAGGCGTTGAAAGGCTGGTTAGCCTCTGACCTGGAAATTCCCTCAGCAGGAACATAATCTGTGCGATTTAGTGCGAGTACCTCGTGGCTTTAAGGGCTGGAGTTTACAGCCTAATGTCACAGGGAAGTGACAAAACTCCATCCAGGAGCAGCAGGAAGCTCGGGTTAGATTGAGGGCAGGGCAAACAAACCCACAGCTCACAGCCAGCTCTGTCACAAACGGGCAAGGCTTGAACAAAAAAGGATAAATTGGAGCTAAACCAGGCCAAGTACCTTTCAGCAGCTTTTGACTGATTCTGGAGAAAAAGGGTCTTGAAATCATCATTTCTTTGTGAAGATGATACTGGTCAATCAGAATTAGCTGGCTGGTTGTCAGTGCAAGGTCAGTAAGACTAGAATCTCAAGACTTATATCTCCAGACTGAAAAGAAGTCCTACAGGAAGAGATAAAACATGAAACACAACCAATCAAACAAATGTAAAAATCCAATTGCATGTGAAGCAATACATCCACAGAAAGACTAACCTTTAAAAATAAAGAAGAAAAAGTTAACTTGAATGAAATAACATTGTTTTTCTCATTGTGCACGTTTCACTTTCTGGAAGTTCATTAACACGGATGGAAACCAAACACACAGCAGACTTTTTCCAGAGCCTGCTCATGTAGCCCAGGGAGGGATTTCCACCAAGAACAGAGTTTTGTCCTCACGTAGAGTTAACAAGAAGGGGATAAACTAATTTATGACACAGGTTTTACTTCTAACACACAGTGCGTAAAGGGGGAATCCAAGCCCGCGAGGAGCGGAGCTAAAGCCCGCAGCGTGGGGAACTTCCTAAACATGCGATGCCATCGTGTGGGCAAACACAACTCCAGCAGTTTCAGGAGGAATGTCATTGAATCCTGGAATGTTTCGAGCTGTTTTGAGTTAAAATGGTCATCTCGACCCTGCTACGGGCAGGGACACTTTCCACTAGCTCAGGTTGTGTTCACATCCTATGAACATGCCATTAATTATTTCATTTTTACTTTACTATGTCCTGACCCTGCTGAAGGAGCTGGGTAACTCCTGTGCCTCTAGTGGTGATCAGAGAGAGTCTGGAATAGCATCCACCCTGGAATTCTGGTCAATCTGTTCCTGAGCTGGCAACAGGAAGATTATTCTACAGGTTTTTATGAAATTTTGCACCTGTGAAGGTTAAAAAAATTCCCCCCACAATTCAAAAGTGTGATTTAAGTTAATCAAGACTTTTACTCATTCTTGAAAAAAAGCAAAACAGTGGGAGCTCTGCCATGGTTAGTGCAGACAGAATCACAGATTGGGTTGTGTTGGAAAGGACCTTAAAGCTCATCTCATTCCAACCCCTGCCATGGGCAGGAACACCTTTCACTAGCTCAGGATGCTCCAAGCCCCATCCAACCTGGTCTTGAAAACTTCCAGGGATGGGACATTAATAACTTCCCCGGGAAACTATTTTTTTCCCCTAAATTATCTTATTTTGTACATTTCTGCTTTCTGTTGAAAACACACTGATCAGACTGTAATTAAAAGCTAAATGCCAAGCTGCTAACCTGTTCCATGATACGTTGTTGCAGGAACACTCACAATACCAGATTTGTGTGAATTTGCAGATTTGTGTGAACTTCCCATCTCTGGAAGGAGAAGGAGGCTTTACACTGAGCTCAGGTTGCAAGAAAATCAACCAGAGTCAGACAAAGCATAGATAAAAATGGTTTCACTGCTCTGAATATGAAGGCTTTGGTGTGCTGCAGGAACCAAACCCTGTAGGTGAAAGAACAAGGAGAATAATGCAAATGGGATGAAAAGTTGCCAACCTGAAAAAAAAGTGAGTTGTGGGACCAGAGTTTTTGCAACCACTGAAGTTATAATTTTTTCTCCCAAGCCTTCACATGTCTGACTGAAGGCATGGCCAGTCCCTGTCACCTTGCATTTGTCCCTTAGCCCATGTACAGCCTTTTTACCTCTCAGCTTCACACCAGCCTGATTTTGCCAGCCAGGAGACAGAAACTGAATCTATTCATTGACAAATTGTTGCGCTTTTCCTCCACTCCCCGCTTCCATTGAAACTGACCAGAGCTGGAGCCTTTACCCTGAAAGTGACCTGTGTGTTTATTTACTACACACAGAGTATTTACTACACACAGGCACACCCAGCTTTTCCCATCCCAAAGCCATGAGCTGTTTCCAGCACAGATCAGGGCCAGCAACACCATCACCCACAGACCTTTCTAGGACTTTCCCAGGATAATTTCTGGGATGGTTTTTAAAATGTTTCAGTATAGGGCACCTGGCACCTCAGCCCTGACAGGAGCTGTGAAGGGTGGTTGCTGTGTGCCAGCTACAGCTCTGAATTTTTACTCTTTTTGAAACAGTTTTTAGGGCCAGGGAGGCTGAGGGAAAAGGGATGCCTCAGGAAGAAGGGTCCCCTCAGGGAGGAGGGTTCCTGGAAAAGCAGGGTCCCCTCAGGGGAAAGGTTTCATGGAAAAACAGGGTCTCCTCAGAGAGAAGGGTTCCCTGGAAAAGCAGGGTCTCCTCAGGGAAAAGGGTTCCTGAAAAGGCAGGGTCTCCTTAGGGAAAAGGGTTTCTGAAAAAGAAGGGTCTCCTCAGGGACAGCGGTTTCCTAAAGGAGAGTCTCTCCAGGGAAAAGGGTCCCCTCAGGGTGGAGGAGCCCCCTCAAAATGGAGACTTCTCTCAGGGCAGAGGATTCCCTCAAAAAGCAGGGAAGTGTTCGCTCAAAAAGGAGGGTTTCCTCAGGGAAAAGCGTTCCCTTAGAGACAAGTCCCCTCAAGGCTAAGGAAGCCCTGATGGAGGCGGGGTGGCTCTCGCTGCGTGCGGAGCTCTCAGGCTGCCTCCTCACCGCCCGCCTGTCCCCTCCAGATCGCGGGGGCAACACCGCTGCTCCTCGCCTTCCCTGCCTTCCTCCATCCTTTCCC